GGATGCGGACTGTCCTTTCACCTAGTGCAGGTGCTGACCGGACATGGCTGTTTCGGAAAGTACCTGCACCGGATAAAGAAGTAACCCACCACCAGATGTCATCACTGCCCGGAGCGATTGGACACGGCGCACCATACGCTGGCTTCATGCCCTGCATGGAGTCAGCAGCACCGTGTCCTGGCCCGGACGGCGGGGTGCCGGGTGAAGGCACTCTCGCTCCCGTGCATGTTGCGGGCCATGTGCGGGAGTGAGGAGGCATGGGAAGCGGCGGCCTCCTTCTGTAGGGATGTAATGTCCCGGAAGGAAGCCGCCGAATGGAAGCGTCGCACTGGTCGTCGTCGTAGACGACGATGGAGGGGGCGGCGCTCCCCGGGAATAGGGAGCGGGCCCGAGGTGGCGCCAGCCGAGGGGGAGTGGCCACCTGTACGCCGGAGGCCACCTCTTCAGCCGCCTCGGGCCCGCCTTCGGAAGCGTGGGCGGGGGGCGACGGGAAGGGTGTGAGCCCTCCCACCTCCCCTGCGTGTCAGTAGAGGTAGGACAGGGGGAGTAGCGGCCAGATTGGGGATGGGCCTCACTCCCCTACCCCCTGGCTAACGGTTGAGGGGGGACGTGGAGAGAGAGTGGGTGTTCCTCTCTCTCCAATATGAAACCGGAAAGCCAACCCGATCGAAATACCGACCGGGGCGCCGTGCCTCCTGAATCCACTGGAAAAAGGAGGGGCGCGGTAATTGGGCGTGGGGCTCCCGTAGAGCCCTGGGGCCGGGGTGTCGGGGAGGGAATGCAGGCGCAGTTCCCCTGACTCCTTCCACTTCGGCTCGATCGGTAGACACCCCGGTGGGGTTTTAGTGAGTAGGAGTCTCACATAACCCGCCTCCTCCAAAAAGGGGGAGTATCCATGATGGATTTCCCCGTTATCAAAAAAACAAAAATAAAAAGAAAGTGGTAAATATACTTATCACCTATTTATTCTCACATTTTCATGAAATATTTCATTTTCGAGGGATTGTCGGGTTTTTGTGTTTTCTAGCTTCTGATATGATATGGGAACATACATGAAAGGTTGGAAAGTGTTTTGCATAAGTTGTCCATTTATTACAAATAAACGAAGTATGAAAAATACACATTTTTACAGAAAAAATCATTTTCCACGAGCTATGAGTGAATTTTTTTGCTCAAAATCATGATTTCGGGTTGTTTTGGATTGCTGATTATGAACTTGAGATCCAAATTGCAAGATTCGTTTTCCAAGATGGCGAATTCAAGATGGCGGATCACAGAATTTTTATTAAATTAGTTAATATTAACTCTGGTTAATTTTTGAGCTCGCTGATTACGAATCTGAGGTCCAAATTCTAAAATTTATTTTCTAAAATGGCGTATCAAAAAATTTTTATATTATTAGCTGAAATTGCACTTTGGTTAGCTTCCAAGGTCGCTGATTACGAATCCGAGGTCCAAAACTTATTGTTTAAGATTGTAGATTCAAGTAGATTCAAACAATGGCGGATCAATTCTAATATATTTACCTGAAATTGTCTTCCGGTTAGTTAATTTTTCATATTTGTGGCCGCCATTTTGAATCCGCCATCTTAAATTTTGAAAATCTGATAACGGATTTGTCATCAGCGACCCCAGAAACCCCTGTATATAAATTTTTTATAACTCTGATTTTTCTAAAAAATACGTGCCTTAAAGGGTTAAGCGGTGTTTAGGGCATATAAGTAGGGTCCAATTAAATATGTTGTCATAAGAGCTTCAATAGCACATTGAAAGTAGATGCGATAATAATGAGGCGATATGGATTCAACCTTGGTATTCAATCTTGGAACAGTTTTGGAAGCTACTTAACTTTTTTCTTCCTTCCATTGAAATCTATCGTGCTGTCAAGAGATTAATTGATCCGATGACATCAACATTTTCATCTTTTTTCTAGTTTGTTAAAAAAAAGAAAAAAATAAAAAGTGTCTAAAACTAATATTTGAGATTTTTAATACAATAATGGAGGATTTATCTATTGCATAAGCTGCATTCCAAAAGCGCGTTTCAACTTCTGGCCCTCTGCTTGTGTCAACGTAAGTCTCCACCCTTTTCTTTTTGAACACTTTGCGAGTCTATTTTTATCATAAATATTTTTGTTACAATAATGCATTTAATATTAACTTAAGCAACCGTATACATTCACGATAAATATTATTTTCAACAATGATATCAGGTGACATGAGAAATCAACTGCGATTATAATTGCAAATATCTACTGTCACGAATTAAAAGCTCGCGCACGAAGTGTTTTTAAATTCATATTCATGTGGATCACATCCTGGATATGACTTTCTTGAAAATGTCGTATCACGGAGATCCATTAGAAATCCACTAGAAAAGGTTAAAGGTGTAACATTGAAAAAACAGTTATTAATTCTTTGTCTATATGATTTTGCGTAGCCGATCGCGCAATCATATGTAAATGTATCCTCTGTCTCGTCTGCTTCCGTCTATTTTCTGCAACTCAATGCACAAAGTACAATTTCTGCGACATTTCTACGTGATGTAACAAATATGATATAAAAGAAAAACGGCCAATTTTTTATTCAACTTACCTTTTTTTTACAACATAAAAGCAACAAATTCCAACCATAAACATTATCCTTTTGACCGTTTGAGCTGCATAATAATAATGAATTATAAGATTAGTACTTGTTATTAGGTGTATGAATTAATTCGGTCCGTTTTTTCTTCCAAAAAAAGACTTTAGTATGAAAAAACATGAAAAAGTGTACTAATTAAAGTGTTTGCCATCGCTTGCTATTATTTTTTCCATCTGTCTGGCAGTTGTTGCGTTCTGTGACGGAAAAACGACTCGTCCTTCGAAGCGATCCATTCATTGAGACATTTTTCTTCATAATTGTTGAAGTGCTGGTCCGAAAGCCCGTGTGCCATCGATCTGAACAAGTGATAATCGGATGGAACAATGTCACGGTATTCTAGAAAAACAGGGTAAGGAATGAATAAAGGATACCGTGAAACATGCAACAGAAGTAATTCCAATGAGAATTACGTACATCAAATAATAAATAAAAAATGTCCTTCAATATATATGATGGGAAAAAGGGCATTAAAAGCACATAACTGATTTTATATTATTTAAAGATCGCAATCACAGTTGAAACAATTGCATAAATCTTAGGCTAGCAGGACCCATTATGGTGAACCGTATATATATATATATATATAATATATATTATAATATATATATATTTTATATATACAGGGTGTTTGATAGCTGATCATGCAGNTACCTGTACACTTCAGATTGTAAATTTATAACCACCCACCCTGTATATACAGGATGTTTGATAGCTGATCATGCAGACGAAAGTTGGAGATAGATTGGGTGTAGCCGAAAAGAAAAGTCATGTACCATAATGTCAAATTGGTAATAGTTACCGATTATTAATTAAAACATGTGAGCCAACGAACGCGTAGAGAGCGGAGGGCGGCCGCAGTAAGCACGTAGACATTTGATACAAGCGGAGTCAGCGAGTGGCGATAGGCAAGCGCGCGCGGCGAGGGGCAACGTAAACGACAAGAGGCGAGCGCACGCGACGAGGAGCGAGCGAGCGCGAACGACGAGGAGCGAGCGAGCGCAAGCGACAAGAGGCCAGCGAGCGCGACGAAGAGCGAGCGAGCGCGAACGACGAGGAGCGAGCGAGCAATAAGGAAAAAGCTATAAAGAAAAAGCTCGCTTGCTCCTCGTCGCGCGCGATCGCCTCTTGTCGCTTACGTTGCCCCTCGCCGCGCGCTTGCCTATCGCCAGTCGCTGACTCCGCCTGTATCAAATGTCTATGTGCTTACTGCGGTCGCCCTCCGCTCTCTACGCGCTCGTTGGCTCACACGTTTTAATTAATAATTCGGTAACTATTGCCAATTTGACATTATGGTACATGACTTTTCTTCTCGGCTACACCCAATCTATCTTCAACTTTCGTCTGTATAATCAGCTATCAAACATCCTGTATATGTATATACTTAGGATACATTCGGATTATTCGTTATCACATTTGCGGGAAAATTGCAGCTCTGGCTAGAAGAACAGTCGTGAACTATTTTTCTGCTCTGCATTATCATATTTATCGGAAGACCTAACCGCATATATTAAAAATTTTTCTGCAAAGTTTTCGTATCGTTTTAAGTTTCCTACCTAAATTTTGAGTTGTTAGAAATGATTTGTAAATTTTTCCTCTTTGGAACATCCAGAGCTTTAGTACATACAAGTTGCAAAACTTTTGTATTAGATAAATATTACGCTAACTGTCAATTCGAAATTTTAATTTAAAAATTTTTTATCGCTTTCGTCACATATTGAGTGATGCTCCAATTAATTTTTGTACGTACTTTCATCGTGTAAAAGCATATTTAATTCTGAAGCATTTAAGACGACGTAAACTTTGCAGAAAAAATATCAAATTGTGACAGTTCTCTGTCGATAAAGCGTTCAGCATCCCCTTAAGTTCAAAAATGTTAAATGCGATATTAATCAGTGGTACATATAAGTAGGGATAAATGCGGCCTCAGGAGGGAGATCTTGGAAATATATGTAAAGATAAAGGTCATTGCAAGTGGATCTCTTATCCGGTATATTTATTATAAATGTTTATAACAGAATATAGTAGCATATATTCATTTATTCCAGTTTATCAGAATATGTATTTATCAAATATAAATCCAAAATTGACCAGAATTAATGTAGAAAGGAATGTGAAGTAGAGACATAAATGTTACCTAAAGTAAGAACAGAAAAATGTCAACGACGACATGTAATATACGAAAGTATAAAAATAGGAAGCCATTTAAGGCCGCAATGCATGAATTTAGAATAAATATCAAATAAAAGTAAGCAACCCTTTTTTAGAGTTATAAACATTTCTGCATATTGGCAACGAAAGTTATTTATACTTGTTTATTAATCATGCACGATGAATAAATAATAGAGTATTTTACCATAATATTTTATTATTGCCTTGTTTACAATAAATATTCTGCGTATCCTCCTTCCCTTTCCACACACCTTGATACCTTCGATTTACAGAATTACGAACTTTTGTAACATTATAAAGATTAACTTCTCAAGATAATATTTCGTTAATAATATCAGCAAGTTCATCATTTTCCAACATCGTGAGATGATTACCTTCGACACGACGAACTTGCACGTTACCTTCAGTCACCTGAATAATAATTAATTTTGTCGTCAATTGATTTTCAAAGGCGGAAACTACATCGATATGCGTCCTTATATTAAGATTACCTTTTTCAAGTCGCTATTTTCGTCGGCAGAAGGTAGGTAGGACGTTGTAGGTTTTAGTAATAGTATAGGCGATTTCAGTGGCGGTGATGAGGACGCATCATATTCGTGAATAGCGATCAGATGCTTATAAACCGTTGTACAATAAATCTTGTAATTTTCAAGAGAAGTTACTTGCACAATATCGTCTGAAAGACATTTGACGACAGCATCCCATTTTTTCTCCCACGTGTCGTGTTTAGACAATTCTAATAGAACCTGTTAACAATTATCATTATTACGTGTCTTATATTATAACAATAAATTCACCATACACAACATACCGATGTATTATCGATAGAGTAGAAGAGATCTATAAGGCCTAGGAGAACATTATTCTGAAATTCCTGAAGATTCGTGAAAGGAAAATATTGATCTTTCAGAGTTTTCATATAATCCGGTGTGCCATCAATTAATATTAACCGTCCTGTGAAATTTCTCGCCTCCAACAATCTCGTCAACTCGATAGCGATTAACGACCCGTATGAATACCCAACTATTATGAATTCCGCAGAACCCTCCATCTTTGATATTATATGCTACAAAAAAAGAGAGAGAAATAAATGTTCGTTTTTTCTTATTAGTTTCTTGATCGACGTGACGCAATTCCAATCTAGTGGAATGGAATCACGGAAATATCGAAAAGGCAACTTCCCTGTTATATTAATACGTACAGGTAACAGACTGGCAGCCGACTGCAATACAGATTCACTCGTGGGGATATTGTTTGCTCCGTGCTGCAAACATGTCACGGGACCTTCGATTTTCGAAGCCAACGAATTAAATACGCTCCCGCAACCTTCGATTCCTGGTAGAAGAAATATCCGCTTTGTGCCCACTTTATTTCTCGTAGTTATCTCCAAGCAAACATCTGGAACTATGTCTAAATTATTGATTAAACGAATTAAAAATTTTATACCCGCCGAATCGAGTGTCTCAATCTGCTCAAAACGCTTGTCTTTGTCGGCCATATTGTGGAGTTTCTCCAAAGTGAGAGTTCTAATGTCCTGCGCGGTAAGATAAACGTCGAATTCTTTCTCCAACGTTTGCTTGATCTCTACCGCCGTCATTGAATCCATACCCATCTCTGACAGGGGAGTGCGAAGTCCAACCGCTTTCACATCTTTTATTCCTAAGTAAGCAAAGACAGGAGAAGATAAGGCTCTTGGATTTTTATCATGATCACATAAATCACAACAAAAGGTATGAGAAAGAATACACACATCATTCTTGCCATAGGTGTTTTATAAAACAGTAACATTTAATATCTATTACACTTCGGACAGTAGAAAAAAATGATGTAAGGAAAAGTTGAATCCTAATCTTGAATTGAGTGGGCACACTATTTTTTTATGAAATCGATTTTTTATTGGTGCAATAAAGGTTGGGCCATAAAAATATAATTGTATTTTTATTTTAAATAGAACTCCTTTATTTTTTGTATAAGTAGATTTTTAAAATATTTTTCGTAAATTTTTTGTATAAATAGATATTTTAAATATTCTCCGTAAAAAGGTAGCAGGATAAGATGACCAAAAAATGAGTAGTTAATAAGACATTTAAGATTTATTAAAGTAAATGTTTGAACGTTCCACCATACAATAAACATTTGGCATCGAGTGTCTAGAAGGATATTTTGAACACTGTTTGTAAATATTCAATTGCGTCGAAAAAATTGTACCGTCTACGCCTGTCTAACAATAAGAATCGTACGCAGTAACGAGTTGTAATTCAATGAAAAAAATATATCATTATGAAAGTTTTAAACAATGAACAAAAGTAGACATGTTCACTATTTTTGTGTTTTGTGATAAGAATACTATAAATGCTGCAATTATATATCGTCTCATATCCGTAATGTTGCCAAATGTTTGTGGTACGACGGAACATTCGAATATTTATTTTAAAAAATCTGAAATGTCTATTCATTTAACTACTTACTTTCTGGTTATTTTAACTGCTTCTTTCTGCAGAATATTTTAACTTGTACAAAGAAAAATCAGGGGCTTCAATTTAAGATAAAAATGGAGCTGCATTCTTCTCGTCACTGCGCTACCAAAAAATTGACTTCATAAGACAATAACGCTTATGAGAACATTCAACTTTTACTTACGCTGTCTTATTCTTTTGTATTATCCAAAATACAATAGATATTAATTGTTAGGATTCTGCGAAACACCCTGAATACAGTTAACATTGTGTGTATCATTAATTGTAATTTTTTAACTTTAATTTCAATGTTTTATCGTAAAAAATTTTCGAAGTGATCATCAGATTTGTCACGTTTATGATGAAAAAATTACCCATGATACTAGCTACAGTTTCCACAATGTCCATCACTCCACCAAATGTCGCGCGCTTCTCTGCCACAACCATACTACCCACGATCGGCTTATTTAGAACCATGAAAGTGTCCAGCGACTGAAGACAGGATTGTATTTTCTGTTGTAGAGTACCGCCGATGATCAGTTCCTTATTGTCCTCTTGCATATCGGCCACGAGACCCACATCACCCACCGCGCCCCACTGTATAGCCATCCCAGGTAATCCGTCTTGTACTCTTCTCTCGCATATTCTCTCCATGATGGAATTGGCCATACCGTAATTAGTTTGGCCGGAGTTTCCTCGGCCACACGAAACGGATGAGAAGACAACAAAGTATCGGAGGTCAGGGCACATTTTCCTGGACAACTCGTCCATTGTTTTCGTCGCCATTGCTTTCGGTTTAAATGATTCCTCGAAGGACTCAGTTGTCTGATTCTTGTAGAGAGAATCTTTCAGCACTACGGCAAGATTGAATATAGCGTCCACCGGTCCCATTTCAATGGCAGTGTTCAGGATGGACACGCCGTCCTTGTGATCAGACGCTTCAGCACTCGCGATAATCTGCACATTCACCCCGTAGGACTTCCATAATTCTACCCTCGAGCGCTGGTAACCGTTTCGCAATCCTGTCCGCGAAGTGAGAAGAAGATTCTTTGCTCCGCGAAGAATAAGCCAGTCGGCCAATTCTAGACCAAAGCCGCCTAATCCGCCCAAAATGATGTAGGACATATGAGACTTGCAGAAAAATCGGGGATAAGCGAGAATAGGAAGACTCAATGGCTCGTTTTCATCGCATATCTTTATCAGGATCTGAAAATAAGGATGATAGTAACAGAATTTCATCGCGATCATATATAAAGCAGTTGTTGCGATAACATTAAAAACATGAATTTCTAGTGTGCGCGAGAAATTACCTTTCCTATGTGCTTGCCAGTTGCCATATACCTGAAGGCATCTTCTACTTCGGTCTTTTCAAAGACTTTCCTAGGAAGAGGTTTTATCGAGCCATTTTTCAGACATTGTAACATATAATTATATATAATTCCGTAATTCTTTGAGACGGAACTTATTATATTGTCTAACATAATTGCATGGAAACTGATGCCTTTCGCAAAAATCATTCTGTCTAAAGTATTATCGGCGATCAAGTCATATTTTCCTATTTCCAAGAATCGACCGCCTTTTGCCAAGCAGCGAATAGACGCCTGAAGTTTCTCCTCAGCTAAGGAATTCAATACGATATCAACTCCCCGACCGCGTGTCTGCTCAAGTATCATTTGTTCGAAACTTGTGTCGCGAGAATTGCCGATATGATCGTCAAGGATCGAAGGAAAAGTTTCTCTAATGAATTGCCGTTTCTTCAAAGTTCCGACTGTCGTGAATACTTCGCACTTTTCGTACAGCGCGAGGTGGATCGCGGCTTGACCAACACCGCCGGTACCCGAATGAATGAGAACTTTGTCTCCTCTTTTCATTTTTCCTTTCTCGTAGAGAGCGTAGCAGCTTGTGGCATAAACACACGGAACTGTGGCAGCATCCTCGAATGTCCATTCATCGGGAATAACCCAAGACATAACGTGGTCCTGGATTGCAACATTTGATATTCCTCTAAAAATATAAATTATGTTTTCATTCAAGTTGACGTCGTCTTTCAATCATGGAGGGAAGATTGATAACTGCATTACATATCTACATTAGTGCTAAATCTAATATCCTTCAATACAACATTGTTATTGAATTTATATCTATGATATAATAACTATATTTTGTATTATATCCTCTCACCTATCGGAGCATAACGCCATTATTCTTTGTCCAAACCCATCATACCCGACAAATTCAAAGCCTAAGAAAGAATCGATATCTCGTTCAATCATTTGGAAGGATTCCAACGCCAGTTTACCAGTAGCTATCATAATATCTCTAAAATTCAGTGCCGCGTAAATTTTATGTATCATATTTTCGCGGCTGAGTTTGGGAGATGTCCGTCCTTCGACCCAACGGATTGTGCTCATATCACCTCGGATCTAATAGGAATTAAGTTCACAATATAATTTCGTATTATTATTAATATAAAAAAAATTGTTGTAAAGGAATGGTTTTGACTTTTGATGAAAATTGAGTTGTTCCGACGTTTTCCGCATAAAGATAGATAAAGTTTTATGCAAATTTCTTTCCGTGTCCACTTTGTTATCGTATACAAAACCCTTATGTACCCTTTGAGCGACGTAACCGCACTGCACAGGTATGGGTTCCGGCGGCGATAATGACAAGTGTCTGTAAGAGCCCCAAACTTTGCCGGGACGTAAGACATTAATGGGTAAGTCTAGTCGCAACTGATTCATGTAAAAAGGCTCTTGCAAGGAGAACTTGGGCGCGTTCTTATCCTGAATGAAGACGCATCTAACTGTGTCGCGCCTGGCTCCTTTCGCAAACAATTTACAAATCCTATGACACCGCACTCAGGATCATCTCCACAACAAGTGTTACTCGTGAGTTCGTCTCGTCGTCCGTGTCCAATGAAGATTTGAGCTTTTCGATCCACGAAAACTCGTAATTGTTTATATGCACGATTTCTCTTTTTATTATTGCACTTTGCGCCTTTCTCAGAAGCAACACCAACTCCCGTTCCGTGCGTTTCTCCAAAATGATATTCAAATTGTACTGTTGGAGCAACTCATTGTCGTATGTGACATTGAGGTCCTCTCGGGTAAACAGAAAGCCACCAGCCATTATATTAGACAGTAATGTGTGTGCACTTTTCGTTAATACTCCAACTCCAACAACCATTAGGAACGTATCGCCGTTTAACACTTTGTTAGGTTGTACGACCGATAGATTTTGTGGTAACAAAGAGCAGTCGAATCTGTTCTCCATCGCAGCCAACGTCAGATTAGATCGCACTAATGGCAAGTTGCTCAGAACTTTGTCCACAATTGGAATAACTAGATCCTCCAGTAGAATCTTGTCATCGTCCTCGACAAACTCGATCACTTTGACGTTTCTCAAATTGTAACATTCAAGCGCGATGTGTATCGATATTTGCACCGCATCTTTCAAAGAGATCGTGTTATGATCGCGGTGAGCAATGAACTTGTATTCTTCGTGTACAGATTCGACGTTCGTCGATCGGCGGGATATGACCATGGACTTCAGCCCACAAATTTCAATTCCTCCGGATATAATGGCGTCGAAAGAATCATAGACACGTACGGGTACATCTGTAATAAAATTTACAATATGGAGATGACAATAGGAAACCTGCATGAAGAGCAAAATATTGCAAAATACGAAAATATTTTAAATTAAATTGTGCGTTCTTACTTCTTTCTTCAATAGAGAGGTTATGAAATTGCGTCATATGATGTGCAGGGTCGATTACCAATTTACGAATTTGAGTCGGTACGTAAAGATTTCTCGAGTCAACCGATAAGAGTTTTATTTGCAGCATATTGTCCATAAACGCTACCCAATTTGTTGCCCACGTGATATGCCCTGTACTTCCATTAATTGAGGAGCTTTTTAATGAACGAAATAGACCATTATACTGGTAGCCACGGAGTCGTAGTTCCTTGTAAATATCTGCAGCATTCATGCATTCTTCATCATCTTCGTTTTTCGATAGAAACTGAACGGATATTTTCTCTTTCACGATATCGTCAGGCACCCTCACGACTCCACTGACGATTACATTCTCTCCCTCTATAATCTCGAAATTATTACCGCCTGTAAAAGTATTACAATTATTACACGATAATATCACTATTTCTCTGAATCTATTACATCGACTTGATTTCTATTGTTGAAGACAATTTTGTTGTTACAGGAAATTGAACCTCACTGCGACTTCGCAATGTTTTTCCATCTTTTTTCTTAATGTTGATTATATTATTGTTAATGTTGTGTCACAATATCGCTGTAAGGGAATATCGAGAATTGAGTCCCGGGTAATTGCAAAAGTATTTACCTTCTTGGATCATAATAGTTAAGTCCAGCTTGTCTTGTCGTGATAAGTGAGTAGCGCGTATGAATTTAACATTTTCAAATACAATAGGTATGTTTCTATGATCAATGCCGCTCAACAAACCAATAGTATGCCAAATTTCGTAAAGGTAACCCATAGCTGGTAACAAATTTCTTCCATCGATTATATGGTCAGACATATATTCAAAATCTGCATCAGCGGTTGTAATAGTGACGATTCTTTCTCTGCTGAAAATTTTACTTTCACCTGTATAATGGTAGAAGTAATAGTCCTCAGAGTGATTCCATCTGCAATATTGTTTTAAAATTAGTAATGTAAACAAAGAATCGTGATTCGTTTTCTTATACTTATATTTCAGCAAGAAGCGGACCTAATGAGAGGAGATATCATTGGTGTTCCCCGACTAACAGGAAATTGCACTGGCGGATACAAACTTGCAATCTGTGGCTGAAGTCCTACATTATAAAGATCTCCGATTCCTTCTAAAAAGTTTTGCATGGTATGCTTCTGGCCGCGTTTATAGAGTGAAATCAACGTTATCACTGACTCCAAGTTTGATATGAGTGGCTGAAAAGTATTGTGTGGTACTATGTCGACGAGTATCGTATCTTTCGGTAACAAAGCTGTAATTTTTTGTAATGGTACTGGATTCAGTATAATGTCTACATAATATTCTGCAGCGGTCTCAAACTTGTCGCGTTCGCTTCGTGACCTGCCCAACTGTGTTACACCGCGGCTGTTTGGAAAGTTCGCTGGTAATATTCGGTAGAGATGCTCCAAGAGTTTTGATCTAACAACATCAAGATAGTTGCCTTGATTCGTAGTAATGTCATCAACCTGAGGAGCAATGATCAATATTATTATGCCTGGTTTCATAAGTATGTATAAATGGAACATACATAAACAATCGCTCCACATAAGGAAAGCGGAAATTAGTAATTAAAATGAATTCAAAAGTCGTTAAAACCTGAGACATGGCCTGCTCAAACGCCGTGCCTATGAAATACGCCGTCAAAATTGTTGTCTCGATAGTGAAACGTCCATCAACATATTCGGATATAAGTTGGCCAATAGACTGACCTATCGTGTAATCGGATAGAATACCAATGTGTGTTAAGATATCCACTATTCCAATCTAAAATGTTGTTGATAAAAGTATTGGCTTTTAATTGAGAGGCTATTACATCATACGTTTACATGGTTTTACGTGGCTAAATACCGATATAAATATACACACACACACACACACATACGAGTACTTAAATAATTTATATGTTGGACTGTGCTTAGTCAAGCATTTTATATATTGTGAATATAAAATAATTGATGTTTCTTTCTTATACCTGTATGGCAATGATTGCTACAAATGATTCTACGATGCTATTGCTGGTAGTTTTATTTTTGTTTTTTATAATATCCGTAACACATATATCCCGCTGCTTTAATGTTTCATTACATTTCTTTATTGCCTTTGCAAACACTGGTAGTTTCATCAGTTCTTTAGTATATCAAAAGCAAACATATTAATCATATATGAAGGACATTGTATACATGGAGTTGTATATATCCATTCCATCAAATTTATGTATTGAAATTAAAATATTCGTAATAGTTGCTTTCGTACCTATGCTACGCCACTCAACTTCTGTTCCAGGAAATACAAAGCAGATTGGTCTCCTTGGGTTTGCGCAGTTTTCAACTTTTCTTATTTTGTTAACAGGAACTTCAGGTCCAGCAATAGTATATCCTCTATAGGAATGGCCTTGAATATTTTCTGCATGAATGCTATGCAGAAGAGCCATATATTCCACGTCTATCTGTCGGCTATTCACCTACCGCGGCAGAGTTGGACATATACATCTTATCACGGAAAAAATCATTTTGATCTTGGATAATTTCTATTTTAATTTGATTTTTAAAAATACGTTTTTAGTTAAATTTACTTACGTCATCTAATAGAGCCTGAACAGCCTCCTCAGTACGACCAGATACCGCTACAAGTCTAGGTAAGCCATCTGGTATTCCAACATTGATTTTATTTTTGGGATTTGATTTCAGTAGTATGTGACAGTTTCCACCGCCAAATCCGAAATTATTAACGCCAATGTAACCACCGTTCCATGAAGTTGGTTCAGTGACGACATTCATTCTTCCTTCAATTATAGGAGTCAGTTCCTTTCGCGGTGTTTTGTAGTGTATGGTTGGTGGAATAATGCCTGTTTCCATCGCTATCAACACCTTAAAAACGTTGAAATATATCACATACATCCTCTTACAAGGAAACCATAGGAACTGTTTCTCACCGATTTTGATGGGCTTTGGATATGTTGTAGAGCAACAACAAAAACTACTAGACACGTATTTTTTTATGTGCGTATCTCAAGGTTTAGGACGTGAAACAATCTCTCGAAAAAAACTAACATTTCCATTTTTTGCGAATATCTTCTAAAGTACAAGGTATATAAAAAATGTTTCCTACACAAGTTTTACAGTACTATATACTGTTTGCAACGGTATATTCAGATTTTTCAGAAATGTCAAAATTTTCAATTTCCGCCCCTACTCATTAATTTTGCAAAATTAAAAAATTCCCTGAGGATAAAAATTAAAGAGCATTTGATGCCGAATCCATCTATATATAATAATACAATATAATCATGATTAATATTTAGAAAAGCGAGATGATATCATTGTGCTATAAGCGCAGTGCTGTAGATAGGTGTTGTGTTATTTCATTTCAGTTGCGCTGTATTCAATAACTGTCTCTTATGCATATTTCCTCATACTACAAAATGCAAAAGAATTAATTTTAATGACATAATATGCAACTTATTATACGAAATAAAGATGTTAGATAGATGAATGTGCATATGTGTACAGTATGTCTGATTTAAGTGGATACGCTTAATTATTTCTTAGAAAATTAAAGATACAAAAAAATGGTTTAAACAAAAGTTGTTTGGTTTGAAAGGGGACATAAAACAGCGATAGCATTTTGTTTACAGATGGCGCCACTTTTGAGATATTCACTGATCATCTATTTTCTTAAATAGAAATTCCAACTTTTTATTATTATACATCATCTTTTTCTACCAATTAATTTGAACAACTTTTGTCTGAAACATTTTTTATTTGCCTTATATTTTTTGAGATATTTAAGGATAACTTGGTAAATTTTCAATATTTAACTTACCATATCTGGCTAACTATTTGTCGGAACAAAAAGTAGTACTAGACTTTTTACTCTATTTAGTTTCAAGAATATATTGGTACAATAATGCCCTTCTTTTGTTAATTTATTAATCTTTGAGAATTTCAAAATCATCTAATTAACAAAAGTCAGGTTAGTTAAAGGATAGGTTGCAATAAGGCCGTTTTCTGGCCCCTCACCAAATAACACGATACTCCGTCATTTTGTTGTTCATGATGGGACTCATCAATCCCCCAAGTGGTTTCCTGAACAAACAAGTGGTTACTAAAATAACAGTTTGAAAGTTTGCATTTTACATGGGATTAACGTTATTGACGTGTTTGACAGTTTATTTAACCATCTTCTAAGGCGTATCTGTTCACCATACTTTCTCAGAAACTGTCTCAGAGTATGATATTTAAAATATAAAATCATCAAACAAATGCATCTATGGGAAGAAGGCGACCTAGCTTTGAAGTGAGCAATAGCGCGATACTCGTGTGCCACAGCCACACACACACATAAAGATAACTTACCTTACTGAAAATATTCAGGCGGTTCTCCAAGTGATCATCCAATTGATTTTTGATGTGATATATTACTTTTACTTATGACCTGATTATTTTTCACCTGATTTTCACCTGAATTTTTACCTGATTACATTACTTTTTTATCACTTGATTAGTTATTTTGAATGATGCTTCTAACAAGAAATAAGATGATAAATTAGGAAAAGAACAGGTAACGAGGTAAAATGATATGTTATTTAAAATGTCAGGTAAAAAATCATCTAAAAATCACCTGAATATTTTCAGCAAAGTAACCGGTGAGAATATACGGAACACTCATGTCTCTCCATTTTGCTGTTCTTATTATATCTGGTATTAATCAACACGAGTAGTTTCGTTGTATTCTAATATATATATGTCAGAAAAATAATACTTTCTCAAAAAATTTATTTCATTTTGAACCGCTCTCAGCGGAACACAAGTATTGTCAATGCAAATGCGGAACTCGAACTAGAACCGGTTGCTGCGCGCATGTTGCTTCGGTGGTTTAGTACGTGGGATATTATCGACACCTCGAATATTCGCAACAACATGCAGCAGCATTGACATATGGGTTGTATTTGGAGGATGCAGCCTCAGAAACAGAAACTGAATCGATCGATCTTCACTCTAATTGGTTTGACGGGAATAAGACTGAATAAGATTAGGTGCATGAAGCAAAAGATAATAATTAATAGGACAAAATTGAAAAAAAACTAAACGGAATAAAAAATATTAAACACATAAAAAAACAAAAAGAGGCGTCAACCGTTAAATCCACGTTCATGCCTCTGGGTTCGGCTGAGAGCGGTTTAAAATGAAATAATTTTTTTGAGAAAGTATTATTTTTCTGACATATATATATATTAGAATAGTTTTTTTCGAGAGATTGTTTCACCTCCTAAACCTTGAGATACGCACATAAAAAAAAATACGTGTCTGATAGTTTTTGTTGTTGCTCTACAACATATTCAAAGCCCATCAAAATCAGTGAAGAATAGTTCCGACCATTTTCTTGTTAGTAAAATCCACAAAATCTTAACTGCAAGAATATAATCAAATTAAAAAAACATAATTTATATAGGCATGTAGTATAACTTGTGGACACTTGATTAGTCATTTGATTGTGTGGCAAGCTGAATTTTACGAAAATACTTAAGCTGACAAAAATAGGTTTGCAAAAATTAAACAGGGTCACTAAAATTTTGTAACTATTGATCTTTTAGATCACTGTTAACGATATTAAAGTCAAAATTCTTTAAATTCTAAGCGGTAAACTAACTGTAGCAACTAAAGCGGTAAATTAACTGTAGCAAATAAAGCTACAATTTTATGGTATCAAATAAAACTGGATATTTATTATGAAAAAAGTTAAATGGTCAGAATAGGACAAGATCTATATTTGAAATCTATAAAATGTAACGAAATAATGAATAAACATAATTTATGACGGAAAGAGTTATATAATACATGCAGGGTTGGGAAGTAACGCGTTACTTGTAACGCCGTTACTGGTATTATTCCTTTTTTGAATAACGATTAGGTAACGTCGTTACTTTTTTGTGTCAGTAACGAAAGAGTAACGGCGATACATTTTTTTTATAACAAATAACGAAATGTCCGTTACTTTAATCGTTACTTTTTAATTTTTATAAAATTAAACTTAATTGTATTTAATTTCTATGCATTTCGTGTTTCATGTTGAATTTAGTGAGAACCAATAAAAATGGACTTACATATTGTCATCCATTGGCCGTAGCTATACAGAAAGGTTTAAAAAAAGGGTAGGTTGGTGTAATTTGATTAACACATATATTCATCAAATAACATTCATCTGATAAAAAAGAAAAATCAATATGTTTATATTTAATTTTATTGATTTAATTTTAGGTTTTGTACTACATTTGAAAAAGAATTGATAATTGCTAGCTGTTTGTACCCCAAATTCAAATAGAGTTGGTTAGCCGGAGATAAGCGAAAACTTGCACAAACATATTTAGAAGATTTATTAGGAATTCTTTCAGTTGAAACTTCTTTGATGTCTGATAAGCACGATGATAACGATGACTATTTTAATTTCAAACAGCAAACACCAAATGAGGAATCTGTCTATGATGAATTGCAAAGATTTTTAAAGTCAACAGGCACTAATGTCCAAACATTAAATTCATATCCACTAATTAAGAAACTTCTCATTAAGCACAACACTTAATAATATAAAATAATAACAATATTTAAATATATATATATATATATATTTCTAATCATCTTATGTCCGATTTCTCAGCACCTTTCTTATAATCCTGGATTTACAACAAAAAAAAGTAACAGAAAGTAACGAAGTAAAATATCGTTACTTTCAAATAATGGTAACGTGTTATTTTTTAAGACGAGTAACGAGAACGGTAACGAGTTACTTTTTACCGAAAGTAACGGTAATGGTAACGAGTTACTTCCAAAAAATAACTTTCCCAACCCTGAATATATGTAGATAAAATTTTATTTTGGTCATTTATATCGGTTTACGGTGTAACTATTTTAGTGTATTTCTGTGTTAAATTTTGTCATTGAAAAAGCGACTTCAAAAATTCTACGTTTAAAAGCTTTTTTAGAGAACTTTTATAACTTTTTCAATTTTAAGACTGTTACATTATTAAATTTATCATGTTAAATTTTTAAGCTCATCATTAGATACAGTGATACCGACGTTTTTGAATGTATTGGGCACTTGAATAAGTTCTCGCTGTTTCCCGAAAGATGGTGTTATCTTAACTTTTTTGCATCAGGCAATACTACAGCCAACTTCATCGTGAAACGCCACCACTAGGCTCGATGTGACAATATATGTTATTCCGCCGAAGTGTAAACAACATATTTTTTCATAGCGCTAAACTTGTCGAATTTCGTGCCAAAAAAAGAATATTTGCGGGGAATTTTACTGCATTACTTTTTCCAAAAAAAATCTGCAACTGAAGCACATAGAATCCTTGTGGCGACTTATGGCGACCATGCTCTGTCGGAGACAACATGCAGAGATTGGTTTAGACGCTTTAAAAATAATGATTTTGATGTTGAAGATAAAGAACGCTCTGGCGTACCGAAAAAGTTTGAAGACGAAGAATTGGAAGCGTTACTCGATGAAGACCCATGTCAGACGCAAATTGAACTTGCAGAATCATTAGGAGTTGATCACACAACAGTTGCCAAACGTTTAAAAGCATTAGGAATTATTCAAAAGCAAGCAAATTGGGTGCTATACGAATTGAAGCTGAGAGACGTCGAACGGCGTTTTTTCACGTGTGAACAGCTGATCTAACGGCAGAAAAGGAAAGGTTTTTTGCATCGTATCGTGAGTGGCAATGAAAAGTAGATACACTACGATAACCCGAAACGTAGAAAATCGTGGGGTAAGCCCGGCCATGCATTAACATCGACGGCGAGGCCGAATATCCATGGTTCCAAGTTCATGCTCTGTATTTGGTGGAATCAGCTGGGTGTAGTATAATATGAGTTCCTCAAACCCAACGAAACCATCACGGGAAATCGCTATCGACTACAATTGATGCGTTTGAGCCGAGCATTGAAGGAAAAACGGCCGCAATACAAGGAGAGACACGACAAAGTAATTTTGCAGCATGACAACGCTCGGCCACATGTTGCAAAACCGGTCAAAACCTACTTGGAAACGCTCAAATGGGAAGTCCTACTGCACCCGCCGTATTCATCGGGCATTGCTCCTTTCGATTACCACTTATTCCGATCGATGACTCATGGCCTGGCTGAGCAGCACTTCCATTCTTACGAAGATGCCAAAAAATAGATCGATTCGTGAATGACCACAAAAGATGAGTCGTTCTTTCGACATGGTATTCGCATGTTGTCAGAAAGATGGGAGAAAATAGTAGCTAGCGATGGACAATACTTTTAATGACATGTTCTTTACTAATTTTTTTAAATGAAGCACTCATTTTCACGAAAAAACAGCAAGAACTTATTCAAGTCTCCAATACAATTTTAGAAATATTAAACTACCAGACATATCAAAATGTAATATTATGTTCCGTGCTAATTCATTTCTTGCGAATGTGTTTCTGCTGGTTAAGGAGCTAAAATACGTACTTTTGCCACTTGACAAAGACCACTAACAGGTTCAGAATGCCCGAGATTTGATTTTATCGAACCTATCAATAAGGGAGTAGTCCTCTTTGAACATAAAGCCTGATCGATGGCGTTAACTTCTGGCGGATCTCCTGCTAAAGTACTAGTGGCGTGGGCCTCCATATAGGACAGCTCTTCAGGTGTGATGCCGCAATCATTGTAAAAGTCTTCCAATAATTTCTTTTGCATACTGAGAGAAGGATATGTAATCCCTTCTGGCTTCCAACCATCGCAATTAGTTTTAGAGTAGACGAGGGTAGCATAGATTCGTTTCGCGTTCTTCGCTTTCTGTAGATATATTACTGCGATTGCTTCACTGCGCATATAACCCGTACCGCTCGCCTCGAAGGGCTTACAGTAACCATCCGCGGAGAGGACTCCTAAAATTGTTCAATCGGCTAACAATTAGGCGATCTTTTCGAGTTACGCCATTACAGCGTTTATATGTAAGCGATAGATCTCTTTACAAGGAATGATTTTACATTTTATAAGATTATTTACAAGCTTACCGAGGTGAAAAAATTGAAGCGTTATATTGGGATGAAGACACAGATTAGCACCACCCACGATAGCTGCGTCGCACTCTCCACCTCGTATCATTCTGAAAGCTTCCGCAATAGCGTAGTGGCTTGAACTGCAGGCCGTATCCACCACATAAGATGGTCCAGTAAGACCGAGCCAATTAGAAATACTGTTCGCTAGCCAGTATTTACCGCAACCAATAACTGAGTATCCAGGTGACTAATTAAAAATAAATTATGTTTATGTTAGCTTTTATTTTTTACCCTTTATTATATTTATATTCTATTTTCCCCTTTATTATATTTATATTATATTTATTTATATTTATTATTGTACATATATTAGCGTTTATATGTATACAGAATATACTTTTTCAGTTATATTAAATATAAAAGTCTCAAAGAATGTCCGTGCCAATACTAATTAGCCGGTTTTCAGAGCTTCGTCTAATTATGTGACTGTTATTAATTATTTAACGATTGCAGCGTTTTTATCATCTTTCTATGCTGGATTTAATAAGTTCTGGCACGAGCGAATATTTCAAGAACAAGATCAGAGGGATAATTCTTAAAAAAGATATGTATTTTTTAAAGTAACAATATAATATTTGTTTATAATATTATTAATAAAAAATGTTTCTTTTTCGTAATATTTGGCAGTTCCAGAACTGCTTTTATATTAGAGATATGAAATCATCTGATAGTGTACCTGAGGCATGGTAAGAAGAGTTATGGTGGCCGTTGCAGAATAACACGATCCTATAAAGACACCAGTTTTCGTTCCTTGTAATTCTTTGGGATTTACACCGGCGTCGATAAGTGCTTCATAAGTGTGCTCGAGCAACATCCTGCACATAGGATCAGTAATATGCGCTTCCACAGATGAAATACCAAAGTACTCGGCGTCGAACTTGCTTATATTATTAATCTTTCCTGACCGATCTGGCATGTCATAATGAGCTGTAAAAATGCCAAACATTTATTTTTTATACTATGACTATAATCTGCAGAATTGCTACTATTTTCTTTTCTATTTTGTTTTTTCCCTTAATATTTTATTCAAATTGTATCCGTATATTACCGTTGTTCCATCGTCGATTGTCGTCCGAACCTAGGTCCATCATGTTCAAAAGATTTTCTTGCAACTCCTTCATATTGTCTGTATCGGGAAATCGACCGGCGATACCAGAAATCACAATCTCTTCACCCGGCGGCACTTTTTCGTGTGGGTTATAAAGTTTGCTGCCTTCCATATTTTTGTCTCACTAACAAATCTATTCGTACTGAAAACATAGTGCAAAATGCTTTCTGCTCTCTCGAACACAAATAAGCAAAACGATCAAACGGGACGTTGAATAAATCTACAATTTTATTCCATAAGTAATCTTTCCGCGCAAGAAAAATGTACGTACCTAATTATATATATTACTCAAAGCAATTAGGGAAGCGCTTCAAAACTTGCAAAATTTGATGGTTATTAAGAAGCCATATTTCAGCTTGGGGAGGTCGTAGTCAATTACCTGAAAATACGTTTAACAAGTAAAAGGAAGCTTTCACACTAGTAAATTTGCATCACATCAACTCGCAAGTCTGTAATAGACTTTAACGCGAGAAATACAATTTATGTATCTACATTATATGTATGCATGTATAAAAGCGGGACATCGTAGCGAAAATGAAGTAGCGCAAATAATTGCTTTAATAGAAGAAGGTCTTTATCTGTGCTGACACATACACACACACACATATCACGCACATTTCATATTAACGTACACATATACCATACACATGATGTGCAAAATCCGTCCGAGCAACCCGATCCCCGTGGTGCATATCGGATAACACGAATGGCGGCGGTGTTGCTAAAAATCTTGCAAAATGCAGGGGTGATTTTGAAATGCGACAACTCGGCTCCAATGTATGATAGAACAATGTTCCTTGCGGCGTTTTAACCCTTTAACGCCTACTGGTAACTATAGTTACCAGAAACGCATTTAAGAATCCATAACTTATGTTAGTCAAAAAAGGAGATATTTTCGTTTCCTTCGCACCACTGTAATCGTGAATTCTTCTTCTAAAAAATGGTATATAGATTGTATGTAGATTCGGTCTGTTTTAACTCAGTTTTAATGATAACATGTTTTGTCAAATTCCAAGTAGGCATAGTTCGCATTGTTACTGACATCTAGAAGTGCACTATAAATGAATAGATTGGTATCTGTTATAATTTTATACATTTGGAAACTTTCTCAGATGCAAAATGTGAAATTAAAACAATACAGAAATTCAAAATGGCGAATCCAATACGGTGGACACGAAAATCAAGAAATCAACCTATTTTCGTGAAATCTGGTGACCTACAATTTTTTATGCGGCAAAAAATGAAGGAACGATTGACTATCTAAATGGTGATTTATAAGATATTCTTCTGACATAGTAAGCTTGACGTTCTGAATGATAAACTTCACTCACAAATATATTAGGTGTACAAATTAATTCTCGGACCCTACCTTTCATCCCGATCTTTCATCGATTACAGAACCTATTCAAATTGGAATTCTTTTCCCGTTATATAGTTATTTTAAAGTGCCATCTTTTAGCTTTAAGATGAGGTATAATACTTGATCCTACTATGAACATAACCTGAAAAATCAGTTGTAGACGCGATATCATTCGAAAACCAACAGTGGGATCAGAAGAGTGTGATCCATTATGAGATGATTCAACTTTGTCAGACCGTCATTTCTGAGCTCTACCAACAACAGATGATCCGTGAATGACATACTTAAGAAAAAAGACCGTTTACCGACAGTGGGAGAAGGACGGTGATACTGCTGCAGGATAATGCCTGGCCCTACATAACAAAAAACTCTACATAACAAAAAAGACTCTGGAAACCGTTTCAGATTTAGGCTGGGAAATTCTCCCTCATGCGACGTATTCTCCATACTTGGCTCCTTTAGATTATCACCTACTTTGATCTTTAGAGCACCATCTAACTGATTTTCAATTCAAGTCAGTTGAACAGGTCGAAAAAAGCCTCGATAAATTCACTGAATTAATCCATTAACGGCCAAATGTCCTAAAATATTAGCCTTACTTCGCAACTGTATTTTATGTAGAGAAACATATTACTGTATAAAAAACACTGATTTTTAAAATATTGTTTTTAATATTACAAATAAATAAAGACGAAGATAATAGTTCTCGGATATATAATTAACCGTTTCATATAGAATATCCCGTAAAGGACTAATTTCTAAAAACCAATTCCAAAAGAACGTTACAAAAAAATAAAGACAAAGATAATTATATTATAGAATATTATGGAATGTTATATTTTAACCTGCCAAAAACTGTATCCTTGCAAAGAAAGAATGTTCAGAGAAAATTATTAATACGTTTGTACAAAAAATGTTACTTTTTAATACCTTATAAAAAAAATAATGAAATCAAAAAATTGCGCCAATTGGTAATGTAAAAGTATGTTGTATAAAACATTTTTAAAAAAGTCATATTTATTGACATTACAAAAAGTATCTATTGACTAAAACTTAAAAAATGTAAAAAATAAAATTAAAAGTAAAAAATAATTAAAAACAATTGATAAATAATCAAATAATAAATAACAAAAATGAAATAAACAGAATAATAAACATAATAAATATAATAAAAAATGAAAACTAAAATTAAGATTTAGACAAAAACACTTGGCATGCCCTTATATACTCAGGATGCATCAGAACAAAAGTCGTAATAAATTGTACATTTCAATCTTCCAGTAATATAATATTAACGTTATTTTTATACATACATTTTGTTATTCTTTTGGAATTTGTTTTTAGAAATGAGTCCTTTACGGGATTTTCTATATGAAACGGTTAATTATACAGGGTGTTTGATAACTGATCATGCAGACGAAAATTTGAGATCGATTGTATCAAATGTCTACGTGCTTACTGCGGCCGCTCTCTGCTCTCTACGCGCTCGTTGGCTCACATGTTTTAATTAATAACTCGATAACTATTGCCAATTTGACATTATGATACATGACTTTTCTTCTCGATTACACCCAATCGATCTCCAATTTTCGTCTGCGTGATCAGCTATCAAACACCCTGTATAATTAATCATTTCATATAGAAAATCCCGTAAAGGACTAATTTCTAAAAATTCCAAAAGAATAACAAAATGTATGTATAAAAATAACGTTAATATTATATTACTGGAAGATTAAAATGTATGGTACATGACTTTTCTTCTCGACTACACCCAATCTATTGGGTTGGCAACTAAGTGATTGCGGATTTTGTCGACAGATGGATTTTATACTTTCTTTTGTTTCGTTAACGTGTTCAAAGTACTATATTTTTTCTTATTGTTTGGACTTCTACCTAACCTATATTTTTTCTTATTGTTTGGACTTCTACCTTTCATTTAGTACAAAAATTATATCGATTAGTTCTTTAGTTTTGTTTTTATCCCAATTTAAAAATGGAAGAGCAAGACGTGCATTTCAGACATATTTTATTGTATTATTTCCGAAAAGGCAAGAACGCATCGCAAGCACACAAGAAATTATGTGCCGTATATGGGAATGAAGCCTTGAAAGAAAGGCAGTGTCAAAATTGGTTTGCCAGATTTCGTTCTGGTGATTTTTCATTGAAAAATACTCAACGATCTGGCCGTCCAGTTGAAGTCGATGAGACCCATAACAAGGCCATTATCGATTCAGATCGTCATAGCACAACACGTGCAACACGTATTGCAGAGAAGCTCAATGCATCGCATACATGCATTGAAAAAATTTAAAAAAGCAAATTAAAAATTTCGAATTTTCATTCTTATTTAAAATCCGCAATCACTTAGTTGCTAACCCAATATCTCCAACTTTCGTCTGCATGATCAGCTATCAAACACCCTGTATGTCATTATATCGTATCGTATCGTATATGTCTGGCATCACCACCTGTAGCGCCATCTAACGGAGAAAAGTATGCAACTGGACATTTTTTGGACGACGTTTCTTTCGTGATGAAAATCTAGCGATTCTGACTTTATATGAAAAATTCTCGACTTACAGTGCACGTAGGAAAGAAATAAAGACAGTTTTATTATGTAAGTCGACCCTAAGGAATCGATTGAGCTCACTTAGAACTCGATCAGATTAGCTATTTGAGCAGTACGATAATCTTGCCTCGGATCAACTAAGTGCTTCGCGTAAAGAGACACGGTCAGTCTCGCGGCCCGTGCGCGTCATTTCGCTCTCGCGTGCACTTGGCGCGGGACACTGCCGTGTCTCTTGATATAAGGTTGGAATAGCAATTCCTTATGTTTTCGGGGTCGTTCTACAAGATTCCGGCATCAGAATTCGTTTAGATTCATAATAAAATCCAATATAGCGGAATTTTTGAAAAAAAGTTATGAAAAATCGACAATTTTATTTTTTATAAGCTTGATTTTGTATCAAATACTTTGATTACTTTGATACAGATACAAGTGTCACATCTTGTCTCAAAAATGTTGAACATTCACAAGGTATGCATTGGTGAAAATGTGAATTCAAGATGGCTGCCTCAAAATGGCGGTTTGAGCGAACAAAACTTAAAAAATAATGTATTTTTAGAATAACTTCGCAAAATCCTAGTATTTAGCATCAGTCCTAGTATTTAGTATCCAGGGTACTGATTTTAGGATATTTGCTAACAACTAATTCATATTAGAGAATTTCAAAATGGCGGATCCAAGATGGTGACTAAAAGGCACGAATAATCGTGAAAATTTCCAGATTTTCATGAATTTTCTTCTATTATTTTCATATTCATGAATTATTTTCGAAACGTACATACGCACATATACAGGATGGGTAATTATAAACTTATAAAATTTATAAAAAACATAAAAACATCGAGATAAGTACAACGGACGGGAGAAAATAGAAATCGGCTACGTAAAGTTTTGAGAAAAATTGCTAAATAAATGAGCAAATAAACGCTCAATGGGTATGCGTTGTGGGCATCGCAGGTATGCTACTCCGCACGGCTTGGGCCGGATTGGCAGGCAAGAACAATGGCGCGCGCCGTTGTTGCTTGTCAATCGGGTCCAAGCTGTGTGGAATAGCAGACCCGCGATGTACGACCACTGCTCATTTATTCGCTCATTTATTTAATAATTTTTCTCAAAACTTTGCGTAGTCGATTCCAATTTTTTCCGGTCCGTTGTACTTTCTGTAACATAAAAACATAAAAACATCGAGATACTACTATATCTCGACGTTTTTATGTTTTTTATAAAGTTTGTAAGTTTATAATTACCCATCCTGTATATGTGCGTGTGTACGTCTCGAAAATAATGATGAATATGAAAATAATAGAAGAAAATTCATGAGAATCTGGAAATTTTCACGATTATTCGCGCCATTTTGGATACGCCATTTTGAAATTCTCTAATATGAATTAGTTGTCAGTAAATATTCTAAAATCAGTACTCTAGATCAGAGCTCGGCAAAATGTGCACACGACGACCGATTTTGGACTATCTCCGCCCACCGCTATTCTCTTTACCTCGCCGCTCCGCGCGCTGCGTACAAGCCGCTCGAGTCTCAGGAGCGTGTTTCCAATAGTTTTCCACGTCACCCATGAAGTACTATTGTTGACGCGTTTTTTTTTAAGTGGTATCCCCAGTAAGTCTAATCTACTGATGACTGTAACAATCCGTAACTAATTGAACAGAAGCGAAATACAATATGTTAAATGAAGAATATTCAATTCGATTTTCGGCGTCTTTTATTGGTAAGAGTGGAAACGTCAATTTGGATATTGCATGTAGTGAGCCGCATAAGACGTGGTAAGGAATCGTCGCTTAAAGAAGAACACTTCTCATTTCTTATAAGCTTCATTTTTGAAAAATGAAGAGGCCTACTGGGGATATCACTTAAAAAAAAAAACGCGTCAATACAATAATACCTCATGGGTGACGTGAAAACTATTGGAAACACGCTCCTGAGGCTCGAGCGGCTTGTGGGCAGCGCGCGGAGCGGCGAGGTAAAGGGAATAGCAGTGGGCGGAGATAGTCGAAAATCGGCCGTCGCGTGCACATTTTGCCGAGCTCTGCTCTAGATACTAAATATTAGGATTGATGCTAAATACTAGGATTTTGCGAAGTTATTCTAAAAATACATTATTTTTTAAGTTTTGTTCCCTCAAACCGCCATTTTGAGGCAGCCATCTTGAATTCACATTTTCACCAATGCATACCTTGTGAATGTTCAACATTTTTGAGACAAGATGTGACACTTGTATCTGTATCAAAGTAACATATTTGATACAAAATCAAGCTTATAAAAAATAAAATTGTCGATTTTTCACGACTTTTTTCCAAAAATTCCGCTATATTGGATTTTATTGTGAATCTAAACAAATTCTGATGGATCTTGCAGAATCTTGTAGAACGACCTCGAAAAAATAAGGGAATGTTATTCCAACCTTATATAATATGTTTCTCTACATAAAATACAGTTGCAAATTAAGGCTAATACTTTAGGACTTTTGGGCGTTAATGGGTTAAAACCACTATCATTTTTCTGATCCGGAATCCGACAATTGCTTGAGAGATGGCAAAAATGTACAGAAAACGAAGAATATTACTTTAAAGATTGAGTTTGTATTTATGTTTTTATAAATAAATGTCAAGATTGGTCAAAAAAGGCCGAGAATTAATTTGTACATCTAATAATAAAGTTTCAGCTAAAAAATGTCAAGCTGACTATCAGAGTTATGTCGTATAGATTACCGTTCATTTTTCTCTGTATAGGTTGCTCATTTCGTATATGCTTTTAGGATCCAAATCATATTTACAAATAAACAAAAAACGAACGATAAAAAGAACCAAACTAACGAAATCAACAAACGAAAAGTGGAAACTTCATGTACTCATTTATTCAGAAGTAAACGATTGATGCTGATTTTCCGTATAATTGTTTCACGGTTTTTCCATCTGGATAACCTTCTTTCTGAGTGTATTTTTCATTTTTACCGTTATATTTACAAAATAATACAAATTTACTCGTTCAGAAATAGACTATTACTTTACATTTTACTTTACATTACTTTACATTGGAAAGGTAGTTTTTCGTAGATATAAAATTCTCATATTTATTTTTGTTATCACTACTTATAGTTTCAGTTCAAAAAAACTCAAATTTTATTCTTAAAACACTTATAAAAAAGTCGGGCGTTAAAGGATTGAAGGGGATGTTTCCCACTTCAAAGTGAGTGTGGTGCCATTTTTATTTCCACCCCTGTTTTATTTGTCTATGGCTACAAAATCATGGAATTTCAAAAATTTTTTCACGACCTGATTTTGGGTTCCAGAAGAAAAACAGTTCGATGAGACGAATAATAAAACCTTAGCCTCTTTAAAGTCGGGGCTTCACCTGTTAAAATGTGCCCTGGAACATTGTTCTACGACTCCCTAAACTGAAATATGGCTTGTTAAAAACCATCAAATTTTGCAAGTTTTGAAGCGCTCCCTTAATTGTTTTGAGTAGTGTATATTGTAATATAAACTCGAATTCGAGAATGTGTTGTGTTCTTTGCACGTTGCTAACGTAAAATAGAACTTTATAATATTCCCAACTGTTACGTTATGTCATCTCGCAAAATATCCTGAGAACAGCAAGTACATACCTTGAGACTGAATACTAGTTGCTGTTGATCGAATCACCGAAATGAAGATGCTGGTGAAACTTGTCGATAGACACGAATATACCGATGTCCTCGATGCGATTGCTACCGTGCACATGAACATCAACATTTTATATCCAATGTCGTCAATGAGCGTTATGTTTTCATTCTTTGTCTTTCTTTTCCGGTTATTGTCTCTCTTTCATCGCTTATATCATCGCTCTTCTTTTGTTCGATTGTAAATTAGAACGTTGCGTATAATGTTAGAATAACGCATTATAGTGAATATATAATAAGGGTCAAATACTGTTTTCTTGACGTGTGTGCGTCAATAGTAGAACTTGCTGTTTGAGACACGTAATTCTAGTTTTCTCTTTCATGTCGCGATGTATAAAATTTGTCTGCGAATTAATTTTATAAAAGGAAAATGGGTGTCTTAAAAATTTCTCTTGAGACATCCATTCTATTATCCTGTATACATGTAGGTAAAATAAAATGTTCTTCTAAGGAATTTCGCTTTGTTTACAATAAATGTTCTACGTGTTCTTCTTTCATTTCTAAATGTGCTTGACGTCTTCGAATTAGAGAATATAAAGATGTTAAATGACATTTAAACGTATCAAATGACATGATTTAAGATCACGTATAAAGAAAGCTTCAGTTGATTATACGCTTGTACATACATGTGAAAATAACACGCTCGAATATATTGTTACGTCCTGGAGGAGGAACGCAACTTGACGCTTGCTTTCGCAAGCTCCGACGTACTCGCAAGTCTGCGGTGCAGATCAAGGATCGAAATGACTCCTTTATCTGGCGCGGACGTACGTCGGTAGTTCTTTGTTTAGGATAAGGAACTGAATCCTTTTATCTGGGATAGGACCGTGAGCGACGGTTGAGGAAAGGCAGAATTTTTTGGTTGAGAATAATTATTTGGGAAACGTGATTGGCTTACAATTACAAACAACTTGTTTTATTAGTAATTAGACAGATGTTCACAATGAAATAAAATTTATAAGCTTTCATAATGTGTACGTATACATATATGTATAAACAATCGCGGTCTGAGCAAAATTCCGTGTTCGTTATGTCCGACTGGGATCGAAAAGATTGGTCACTGGCACCTGATTTAACAATTAAGGCGGAATGCCAAGGGACTAGAAAGAGGGAAGCAAAGGAAAGGAAAAGAAAAGAAAGAGAAGAAAAGAAGAAAATGAAAAGACAGGGATCATTCAGGCAAAAGAAAGTTTAAATAACTTACTGCTGGTTCTATGATGAGAATCGACAATGAAAAGTGTAATTGCTGGGTATCTGTGAGGATGGACCCAAGTTTGCGCCAAAAACAGGAAACTGGTCTCAGCAGGATCTCTCGCAATGTCTCAAGGACGCACGAAATCGTTGCACAGAAGAATCAATAACTGAAGAAATCTGATCTGCCTCACTAGTAGGCTTGGTTATTAAGACACCCTGAAGGGGTGTTGGCGAGAAGACTCTGTCCTGGCTGCGGGTCGGTCGAGAGGAGAAGTACATAGTGGCATAGAGAAGAGAAGTGGCATAGCCTTTTCATTTTACTATTAGGTGCACAACTAAGTTCCCACTGTTTTTCAAGAGATGGCTCGAGTAGTAAGTGCTGGTCGATTGTGACATAACCAAAACGTCATGAACCAAGCTTAGACATATGGTAAACAAACCGCTTTGACACATTAGTGATTTTGTTTTTGCGTCATATACTTTTGGTTGTGTGAAAATGATTTTATGCCAAATAATCGTCATTTGCGGGAAGTGTTGCTTTTCTTATTTCATTCGAAGAAAACGGCGGCTGAAGCGCATCGAGAACTTCAAAAAGTTTACGGAGATGCTGCTCTAAGTGAAACAACGTGCCATGATTGGTTCCGTCGCTTCAAAGACGGTGATTTCGATGTTGACGACCATTCGCGTGAAGGAAGGCCAAAAACCTTCGAAGACGCTGAATTGGAGGCATTGCTCGATGAGGATCCGTGCCAAACGCAAAAAGAGCTTGCTTCAGCATTAGGAGTTATCCGCCAAGCCATTTCCAAGCGATTGCATGCGTTAGGAATGATTCAAAAACAAGGAACTTGGGTTCCTTATGATTTGAAGCCAAGAGACGTTGAGCGTCGTTTTTTCGCCTGCGAACAACTGCTCCAGCGGCAAAAAAGGAAGGGTTTTCTTCATCGCATCGTTACGGGTGATGAAAAATGGATTCATTACAGCAACCCAAAGAGAACAAAATCATGGGGACTGCCCGGTCATGCTTCTACGTCGTCGGCTCGGCCGAATATTCACGCTGCGAAGGTTTTGCTGTGTATTTGGTGGAACCAGGACGGTGTTATTTATTATGAGCTGTTGAAACCGAACGAAACCATCACTGGGGAACGGTATCGAACTCAATTGATGCGATTGAGCCGAGCACTGCGCGAAAAGCGGCCACAATACGAGCAGAGGCACGAAAAAGTGATTCTACAGCATGACAACGCTCGGTCTCACGTTGCCAAACCCGTTAAAACCTACTTAGAAACGTTCAAATGGGAAGTCCTACCCCACCCGCCATATTCCCCAGATATTGCGCCGTCCGATTATTACTTGTTCCGTTCGATGGCACATGGTCTGGCGAATCAACAGTTCCGCTCATATGAAGACATCTCAAAATGGCTTGATTCGTGGATAGCCTCAAAAGACGAACACTTCTACCGTGACGGTATTCGAGCTCTGCCAGAAAGATGGGAAAAATTTGTCGCTAGCGATGGGCAATATTTTGAATGATTCATTTGTAACCATTTTTTCACAATAAAATTGCATTTTCATCAAAAAAACAGCGAGAACTTAGTTGCGCACCTAATAAAAACGTCACCTCGGTCGAGAGGGTGGAGTTTTGGAAGTTGCGTCAGGCTCCAAAGTTTATGTCCAAATATGGGTATAGGATTTTGTTGCAAACTCTTCGGAGGTGGGGTTTTAGTGGGGTTCTTAGATAAATATGATAAAGGATCGGGTATCTATGGTAGTAAAAGACTTCAAGGTTCCGCTAGTGTTAGTCAGAGATTATGCGCGATAAGAATTTATAAATAACATGGGAAAGCATGAGATTCTGAAGATCAAAGGCTAGTAATATCATATAACAGCATGAAAGATTGTCTGGTCGGTCCGTCTTCAAAGAAAATTGTTGCTCCGAATAGAAAGTTATTTAAGGTTATTTGGAGAGGAGATATATGGCCAAAATGACTCAGCGGATCTTTTCCGACGGAAATAGAGGAAACTCCGGTGATTAAAGCAGAGAGAAAAAGAAAGAGAAATCTGTGTGTGTGTCGTCACTTTTCTCGCAGGGTCGCGGAATATGAACATTTGGTCGTATAATATAAAATGCAATCCGCCCTACTTGACAACAAATTCAAAGTATGCGGAGTCCGCAGGACGTAACAATATAGTGTAGAATAACGAGGGTATATAGAAGAATTATCGGAAATGAAACAATAGTAAAATATTATTAATATATTTGGGACTTGAATAAGTTCTCGCTGTTTCCCGATAGGTATTGTTATCTTAGCCTTTTTGCATCGGGCAATACTACAGCCAACTTGAATTGAAGCCGAGAGACGTCGAACGGCATTTTTTCACGTGTGAACAGCTGCTCCAACGGCAGAAAAGGAAAGGTTTTTTGCATCGTATCGTAACTTGCGATGAAAAGTGGATACACTACGATAACCCGAAACGTAGAAAATCGTGGGGTAAGCCCGGCCATGCATCAACATCGACGGCAAAGCCGAATATCCATGGTTCCAAGCTCATGCTCTGTATTTGGTGGGATCAGCTGGGTGTAGTATATTATGAGCTCCTCAAACCCAACGAAACCATCACGGGAGATCACTATCGACTATAATTGATGCGTTTGAGCCGAGCATTGAAGGACAAATGGCCGCAATACAAGGAGCGGCACGACAAAAGTAATTTTGCAGCATGACAACGCTCGGCCACGTGTTGCAAAACCGGTCAAAACCTACTTGGAAACGCTCAAATGGGAAGTCCTACCCCATACCCCATCCGCCGTATTCACCGGACATTGCTCATACCGATTACCGCTTGTTCCGATCGATGACTCATGGCCTGGCTGAGTAGCACTTCCATTCTTATGAAGATGCCAAAAGTGGGTTGATTCGTAGATAACCACAAAAGATCAGTCGTTCTTTCGACATAGTATCCGCATGCTGTCAGAAAGATGGGAGAAAGTAGCAGCTAGCGATGGACCATACTTTCAATCACATGTTCTTTACTCATTTTTTTAAATAAAGCATTAATTTTCATAAAGAAACAGCGAGAACTTATTCAAGTCCCCAAGAAGAAAAATCAAAAAAGGTTCTTCAATGGCCTTACTTCGAGATGATTTTCCGCACGGTGGAATCATACCTTTCCCTTCCGAACTTCGAGGGGGGAGGGACGCTCAAATTTTTTAAACAGAAACCCTCTACGAAAATAACACCAGTTGATAGGGCTCGAATAGAATTTTGTGAGCCATGGTTTGATACCCATGGCTCACAAAATAAAACGACCACATAGCGCAGTAATGGTAGAAGATTATTAAAATTTAATGTGTAATGATGCTCGGAAGAGTCACAAAGAGGTATTAGGATTCATCGTCTCGAATCCTGTTAATTAGTGTTATTTTCGAAGAGGGTTTCCATTTATATAATTTGAGCGCCTCTCCCCCCTCGAAGTCCGATACGGAAAGGTACGGTTCCGCCGCGCGGAAAATCATCTGGAAGTAAGGCCATTGAAGGACCTTATTCGATTTTTCTTCCAGCTTTGATAGTGTACGAAATATCAGCCTGGACAGCTTGTTCGAACAGCACCCTTCGTAAGTTATTTTAGAAAATTATAGCGGCCGTCATTTTCGCAATAAACATATAAAAATATAGGACTTCCGTTTCCGGAACGAGTGTGAGAGAGTGGTGAAATAGGGAGAGTGTGGAAGAGTGGTTGTGAGAGAGAGAGAGAGAGGGAGAAGCAGTGGAGGGTAAGGTAGAGTGTTGTGGTTGGAGAGGGAGGAAAGGCGGGTGGAGGAGAGGGGGAGGATGTGGAGGAGGGACTGGAGAAGCGGGAAGGGAGCAGAAAGAACGAGATAAGAAAGAGGTTAAGTTGGAAAGAGCGATGGGATGGATGAAAGGCTTAGGAAAAGGTGAGAGAGGAAATACTAGGGAGAATAGAGGATAGGGGAAAATGAACACTAGGAAGGATAAAACTAGACAGGAAGCGAGATAGGGGAAGTAGAGACTGGAGACTAGGGGAACAGGACAGCGTTACTAGGCGGACAGGAGACAGTGAGTGGTGGGTAAGAAGCAGAAAGGAGAGAGGCAGAGTGGGAAATGACAGAGAGAAATGAGAAATTAGTAGTGAGAGAGGGGATAGGAGTGATAATAGGTAGAGAGAGGAGGGGAAGTGCAAGAAGCATGCTAGAGGAAATAGCAAAGAGGAAAAGGGAGAGAATGTGGACATCAAAGGAAGAGGGGAGGGTAGAGTGAGAGAGGAAGAGAGTGGTGGGGAAGAAACGGGTTGGTGGAGCAGGAGGATGGAGGAATGGAAGAGAGAGATGAAGGAAGGGTTACAGGAAATAAAGGAAGCACTGAGAGAAGAGGTAAGAAAGCAAGGGAAAGAGATGAAAAAGGAACTGGAGAAACTGAGGAAACAAATGGAAGAAAGGGAGATAGAATGGAAAAGAGAAAGAGGAAATGAGAGGAATAATAGAGCGTTTGGAGAAGGAGACAAGGGAAGGGAAGGGGGCAGAGGAGGAGAGGAGAATGAAGAAAATATGGGAAAGAATGAGAGGGTTAGAGAGGAGGATGGAAATGAATGAAAGAGAGGAAAGGAGAAAGAACGTGATAATAGCGGGGTTGAAAAGAGGACTGAAGGAGGTAAGGGAGAGGATGAAGGAGATGTTCAGGGATATGGGAATAGAAGTAGAAGTAAAGGGAATAAAAAGGAATGGATACAAAGGAAGGAAATAAAATAGGAAGAGGAAAAGAGAACGAAGAAGGAAGAATAATGATGAGGATGGACAGAGTGGAAGGGAAAAAGGAGATAATGTTAAGAAGAAGGGAGCTAAGGGAAAGGGAAAAAGGATAGATGATGATTTGACATGGAGAGAGAGGAAGATGAGATGGAAGCTGGAAGAGATTGCGAGAGAGGAAAGGGAAAGAGAAAAAAATATATGGGTGAAATACGGGAAGATTCAGATAGATGGAAATGGTGGAGGTGGGATGAAGAAGAGGAGG